AAAGATAGACTAAGCCATGGCAGTGACCAAGCAAGGAGGTCCTTTAAGACCATCCAACGAATTAATTTGGATTTTGTCCTCTAATCTGGACATGGGAAGGCTGAGGGAGAATGACAGGATCTGGGTATGGCCACACACTTGGAGGCTCAATAGCCATTCGTTCTTATATTAACCAGTCATCAATTCATCAAACACCTACTATATGCCAGTAAGTGTTCAAGATCCTTAGGTTACATTAGTCAACAAAACAAAGATTCCTCACAGTTCTTTCTGCCTATGGGTTCTGTCCCCACGCTTTAATAAAATCACTTTTTTTTTTTGCACCAAAAAAAAAAAAAAAAAAAAAAAAAAGATTCCTACCCTTTCCAAGCTTACATTCTCATCAGGAGGAGACAGACAATAAACAAAACACTATTTTAAAGAAGTAAATTAGCTCAGAGCCTGGAGCCTGTTTCCGATTCTGTGTCTCCCTCTCTCTCTGCCCCTCCCCCATTCATGCTCTGTCTCTCTCTGTCCCAAAAATAAATAAATGTTGAAAAAAAAATTAAAAAAAAAAAAAAGTAGTAAATTATATTTAGAAGGGGAAAAAAAGTGCTTGGCTGCAGTGTTAAATGGATTGGTCAGAATAGGCCTTTGCTGAGGTGACATTTGAGTGATGGCTTAAAGGAGGAAGGGAGATGGCCATGCAGGTATCTGTCAGAAGAGCATTCTAAACAAAGGGAAAAGTTAGTGGCTTGGTTTGGAGGAGAGCTCAGAAGGGAGTGAAGCAGGGAAACCAGTAAGGAGAATGTTACAAGATGCTGAGAGGCACAAAACAACAGAAGCTGTGGGAATGGAGACACCTAGGAAGTAAAATTGGCAGGATTTGGTGCCTGCTTGCATGTGGCAGGTATATAACCCCTCCAGTCATACTGTGGTCTTAAGTCCCCATTTCAAGGGGAACAAACTCACTATACACACCACCTCTAAGGCAAGCAGTGAGAATGCTCAGCACATTCCATCCTGGATGACCCCATTGCCCACCTTGAAGCCCCCCTCCTGCCCCCAACACACACATCACCACCCTCCCTAGCCTCTTAATTCCTCAACCTTGTCTTCAGTGACTCTCTCTCCAGGCCACTCAGCTATCCACTCCCAGGCCCATAACCAAAACTCTCAAATCCACAACTCCTCCATCTCATCCTTTAACTACTATTGAATTATCTCTTTCCATAAAAGATATGTTTACGTTCTAACCCCTAGTACCCCAAAAGGTGACTGTTTGTAAATGAGATCTTTACAGATGTAATCAAGTTAAAATGAGGTTATTAGGGTGGGCCCTAATCCAATATGACTGGTGTCCTTATTTATTTATTTGAGTTTTATTTTGAGAGAGAGCACTTGTGCACACGTGTGGAGGGGGAAGCAGAGAGAGGAAGAGAATCCCAGGCAGGCTCAGTTAGCCCAGGGCCTGATGTGGGGTGTGAGATCATGACCTGAGCCAAAACCAAGAGTCACTTAACTGACTGAGCCACCCAGGTGCCCTGACTGGTGTCCTTATAAAAAGAAAATTGGACATAGAAACAGACATAAGGGAAGGAAATGTGAAGATGAATGACGGGAGTGATACATCTAAAAGCCAAGAAAGCCAAAGACTAACAGCAAACTAGAAATTAGGACAAGTCAAGGAAGGATTCTCCTACAAGTTTCAGAAAGGGAAATGGCCCTGCTGACACCTTGACTTCAGACTTCTAGTCTCCCAACACCATGAGACAGTAAATTTGTTGTTCTGAGCCACTCAATCTGTGATACTTTGGTACAACAGCCCTAGAAATGCGTAGTGACAATGCCCTGTCCTAGTTCACTCAACTACTCCATTTCATCCCATCCCACCCCAGACATTTTCATGGGGATGTCCAGGACAGTGACCCCTACCCCTATCTTTACTTCTCTCCTGACCCACTTTGGATTCCTTGATTCTTCACTACATCTTGCTAGTCTCCTCACTATTCTTCTATCGTTTCTGCCTGTCTTAACCTTAGTCTGGAAGGATGCAACAGTGATTCCTGAGTCCTCACCTGTCCTATGGATGCTTCTGAAGCTCACACACCCTGACTGATAACACTACAAGTTCATGGTCACCAGCCTTACCTGGGCTTTTAGCCCTGCCTGGTCATCCTCCTGTGACCCCCTGGTTATCTCTCCTGCAACAACGATCCCATACTTCCTTCCCACCAGCCTCCTCATTCCACTCAGCAGCAGAGCTGGATTCCCACATCAATAGGAACCTTCTGAACTTCCTCATGTCCCACCTTTGCCTCCACACCCACTCGTATGCACACCCATCTTCAACTTCTTCCCTGGGAATTTACAGGGAATCATCTCTCCTCTTCCCTTTGGAAGGCCCATACCTCCATGCTTCTGGATCCCATTCCCTTTTACCCCTTGCAGAGTCTCATTCTATGAGTTATCCCGAGTCTCTTGCCTCTTCAATCTCTTTTACTATTAGCTTCTTCCATTAACCTACAAATATGTTCAAATCTCTAACTCATTAAAATAGAAAACTCTGCATCCACATTCCTCTACAACTATTTATCACCTCTCTCCTCCCATTCACAATGCCACTTCTTGAAAGAGCTGTCTCCACTTCCTTACCTTTCATGCCAAGGCATAACCTTTTCTAACAAATTATGGAGGTAGAAGCCATACTGGAGTGAATTAAGGAGGAGATATTGAATGGGAAGACACTGAATCAGCAATTATATACAACTCTTATGCTCCCTCCTAAATTGGGTCAAGCTTTCTGATTCTAAAGGACTATTTCTCTCGGGTTCCCTTCCTAAAATTCTTCCTGTGGCCTATTTCCTGATTCTCTGAGCTATCAAGAGATTTTGACCCCCTCCTCAGTTTCTTTCACACAAGCCCTGCCATCATCCTGGAGTTACTAGGTGGTGCCTTAATGAACTGCCCAAATGGGAACCCTTCCTAGGACCCCCAGAGCTTGTAATACCACCTTACTGAATCATCCCTTGAGCACAGGTCAGCATGCTTATTCCATGTGATTATTCCACCCTGGCCACAGCAGGCTGGATCAGGATGGGATGCTGAGCCACACATCAACAGTCTGCAAGTGGCCTAGCCCCAAAGCTCTGGGGAACAATGACGCTCAGACAGCTCTTTATGGTAGAAAACACATAAGTGGAGATACTTAGAGAAAAAGCAATACACAGAAGCTGGGAGGGAGCAAAAACCTGAGTTAGCCACAAAGAGAATGGGGAGAAGTCAGGAGTTGCTGGTAGCAAGACACCAGAATCCCTGCCACAGCCTCTAGGGGTGTATTTGATGCTCCTTGACCCTCTGTATTTGAGAGGCCTGACTGGGCAACAGTTCAGAGGGTTCCTGTCTCTAATATCCCCTGAATCTGCATCACCTGCCCTTCCCTCAAGGTCTTTCACATCACTCTGGTCAACCTATCTTGAAAAGCACAGAACATAGTGTTCAAGTTTTGACCATAGCCTTCTGGCCTTCTGGTCCCCTCATCCCTGCCCTAAGCCTTTATTGAGGCCTCCAATTGTTGGATTTCTCCCAACAATCCATCCCCTCCTGCCTAGACTCAGCCAAACATCAGTTCAACACTCTCAAATTGACGGGCTCATCCTGCCACAGTGTGAACCCAGAACAGCCCCAAGTTTATGCTTTCCTAGTGACTGGACACTCAGTCACTGGAAATATTGGGGAAGACATCAAAATCCAGTGGGAGACACAACTGATTCAACTCTTCACTGAGTCTACCATTGCTCACAATCCTGCTCTGATCCCTGCAGACCCCTGGCTACCATTGCAATCTTTACCTCTCTCCTCATGCCCCTGACCTTACCAATGTAAGTCTGAGAGTCTAAGGCCAAGTTGAGACAGAAAAGGAGTAGCTAGGGGTAAAAAAGAAAGGATGAGGCCTGGAAGGGAGATATGAGACTGAGCTGGGGTTTTGTTTTTTTTTTTTTTAGTTTATTTATTTAAGTAATCTCTACACACATGGGGCTCAAACTCACAACCCTGAGATCAAGAGCCATATGCTCTTCCAGCTGCACCTGCCAGATGCCCCATGAGCTATGTTTTTAAGATAGGAAAATACATGTTTGTAAATGGAGTCATTAATAATGATAGCAATTAACATTTATATAGTACTATATGCCCAGGTGGTATCTAAGAGTCATATGTGCATATTTCTACATCTAACCCTCATAGGGGCGCTCTGTCCTGATTGAGGGAGCTCAATCCTCTGGGTGGGTCTGTTAGTTAAGTGTCTGACTCTTGGTTTTGGCTCAGGTCATGATCTCACAGTATGTGAGATCGAGCCCTGCATCAGGGTCTGCGATGACAGTATGGAGCCTGCTTGGGATTCTCTCTCCCTGCCCCTCCCCTGCTCGTGTGCTCTCTCTAAATAAATAAATAAATAAATTTTAAAAAATCCTTGCGACGCCTGGGTGGCTAAGTCAGTTGAGCATGACTCTTGATTTCAGCTCAGGTCATGATCCCAGGGTCATGGGGTTCAGACCTGCAATGGGCTCTGAGCTGACTGCATGGAGCCTGCTTGGGATTCTTTCTCCCCCTCTCTGCACCTTCCCCACTTGCTCTCTCAAAATAAATAAACATTTAAAAAAATCCTCATTAACAACCCTATGAGGTAAGCACTATATATATCCTGTTTTATGGATGGGAATACTAAGGCTCAGAGCAGTAACTTGCCCAAGATCACAAAGCAGTAACTTACTAGCAAATGGCAGAGCCAGATTCAAATTCAGGCAGTCTGTTACCTGAGACCATGACCTTAACCACTATACTATAATAAATGCTGCAGAGAAAGAAAAATGTCCCTAAACCAGGGGCAGGGGGGTGCAGGGACTCCCCCTCCCTTAATCCCACTTCTACACAGGTCAAGCAGAGGCTCATCAGACAATTAGGCAGAACCTTTATTTCCTAACCACTCCCTGGATTTCTGTCAGAAGAAAGGACAGAAGCACAGTAGGGAGAAGGCTGAGTAAGCCCTTCTTAAGCAATCCAGAAGCCACCTAAGACTGCACACCTGTCACTGTAGCAGTCCCTTTTCACACACCAGAGAGAAGGGGAAGCAGGACAGGGAGGCTCCTTTCTGTAGATTCAAGTCTTGTTGGAGATGTTGAACAGTTACAGAGATTTCTCAGAGAAGGCAAAGCCATCATAGACATTCATGCCTGGGGAACAGCTTGCTCAGCAGATCTTCAGGACCAAGTGTCTCGAACCCTTCTTCGGGGTCGTGGGCCACAGCTGGAGCTTGATGTGGGGCCCAAGCCAGGGGGTGCTCCTGGAGGCTGGTAGCCACATTCATTAGGGTCCAGGGGGTCCCGGCTGAGCAGTACCCACACTGCAGGTACATGGCGGCGCACCGTGAGGGGATCTAGGCCTGTGTCAGGTGAGACTGGCACCCAGCTGTCCTCGGTCTGCAGGAAGCGCAATTTGGTAAGCTGATGGAGGCCTGGTACCCGCCGCTTGACAATCTCAGCACAGCTGACCGCCTTTCCTGCAGCCCTGCCAGAACCTGAGAACACCACATGCCGTGCACTACCACCCTCCAATCGACCCAGTGCCAGCCCCAGCAGGTTGCGGATTTTGCTGCCATCTCGGACCCGCATCTCCAGGGTATCAGGAGGTAGCTGGGGCATCGGAGAAGGTGCTGGGAGTTCCACAGAGCCAGCTTTCCGGTAGTGCTCCATCCCACTTGCTGTTGTGTCTGAATTTCACGGCCCACTGCAGGGAAGTGTCAGATGAATGCTGGGCAATGTGCCCCAGGACACCCCACAACCCCAGCTCTCTAGGATATGGTCCTATTCATCCCAGACTTCCCAGGAATAGGACCATATCCCCTCACCCCCGGCTTCTAAGAAAAGGTGCCATGCCTACTTTACCCTGGGAAGGGGCTGTATCCCACATACCCCATTCCTCTGGACAGGGCCATAACCCTCCCTCCACCCTGGAGTCCCTGAGACAGGACCAAATTCATCAAACACTGGGGTCTTTAGGATAGGGCCAAGCCCCCTCATCCCAAGAGCCATAGGACTGGGAATGAGCCTCTCCCATCTTGAGCTCCTTGGGACAGGGCATGAGCCTTAAACAAGGACTTCAAGAACCTCCATTTTTACCTCAATCTATACTTTCTAATTAATAAAGTTCTTTCCAGGGGCACCTGGGTGGCTCAGTTGGTAAAGCACTGACTTCAGCTCAGGTCATGATCTCATGGTTCGTGGGTTCGAGCCCCACATTGGGCTCGAGCCCCACATTGGGCTCTGTGCTGACAGCTCAGAGCCTGGAGCCTGTTTGGATTCTGTGTGTGTGTGTGTGTGTGTGTGTGTCTCTGCCCCTCCCCCGCTTGCACTCTGTCTCCGCCTCTCTCAACAGTAAATAAACATTAAAAAATTTTTTAAAAAAAAGTTCTTTCCAGTTTATATTTTCCTCCCCACATTTTTTTTATTTTTAAGTAAGCTCTACACCCAATGTGGGGCTCAAACTCACAACCCCAAAGATCAAGAATTGCATGTTCTACAGACCATCCAGGTGCCCCTCCAGCTTATCTTTTAACTCAGGGAAAACATCGTGCAGGCAAAGCATCCCTTGATGGGAACCAAAAATACCCCTCAAGCAATAACGGCTGCCCTAATGCCAGCAAGACCCCCTTGACTGGCCCCAAGACAATGATCAATCTGCCCATTACTGCTTCTTGCACCTACGGACCGACCTTTGTCTCACATTCTCCTTATATAAACCTAGAAGTATTTTCAGCACTTTGAAGACCGTCTTTGAGCCTAGTCCGCTGTCTTCCGGTGTTGGCCTCACTGAAATAAATTACTTTATTGTTTCACCACCACTTGGCTCTCTGCCTTCGGATTTTGTCAGCCAGGAGTGGCAGAACCTGGTCTGTTTGGGATCCCAAAGCCAGGTGCTCTTGCACTCCTGGGCCCCGGTTACACCCTTGCCCTAGACTTTCGAAAACCAGACTAAGCGCTCCTCACCTACAGCTCTCCAAGACCGGGACAAGGCCCCCCTCACTCCGCTCGCAGAGGCTCCTATACTCCAAGCTCCCTGGAAAGAGCCAAGAACTCGTCCAGATGCTCCTCTAACAGAACTGAACTCCTCTCCCACTCCGGGATCCTTAGGATAGGGCCATGCACCCCTCACCTTGAGATTCCCAGTGTCAATGCCCTCAGCCCAGATCCCTCAGAAACGGCAGCAGAGGCTTGACGCGGAGGGCTGCCTGGGCTACTCATAGAGTGGAGTCCACAACCTGGCCGTCTCCACCGCCACGGGCGGACTCCAGAGCTCAGCAAGCCGCAGAGACCAAGGACCAGCCTCCCCTCTCTTCCCTCTACCTCCAGGGTCCCCCCACCCCACTGCGTTCTCGCTCTCACCGCCCTGGCCGCGCACGCCTCAAATTCGATCAGGAGCCAAGATGGCGCCCAAGCCGGGAGCGCGCCGAAGCCGCGGGGCCGCGCACGCCGTGTAGGGGCGGGACCTAAGGGGCCGTGCTTAGCGGTGCCTCAGCGGGAAAGCTGAGTTACGCGGGGACTTCTAGGAGTCAGCTGAGCCAGAACATCCCGAGACCATGAACATGTAGACAGTCTCCGATGTTACATCCTGGAGCAAGGGCATCCCTACTGGGGTGGAGAGAGAGCCCTGCGGAGAGGAGCCACCATCAGAGACTCGTGTCCCAAAGTTGGGAAGGATCTGGCCCTGAGAAGATGGTTCCGCTGGCGTCACCAGCTGGGCGCACAGCAAGAACAAAGGCGAAGCATTGGGTTTTACTTTGGACAGAGGCAAGGGGTTCCGTTCGAAGTGACTGCTGCTGCGCGGGGGAGTCCCTTGGTCACCGAGTTCTGACATTGGACTTCATTCTGTGAGCATGGCAAGCCACGGAGGGTTTTCATCAGGGGGCAAACCAATTTGTGAGCAAACCAATTTGTGCTGCCGCCAGAGGGGGTGGGGGTGGGGGAACTGGGCCTCGACCAACGGCCGCGGGGTCCCGGGGGCGTGTCCACTGAGACTCGTATGTTGCCTAGTGTATAATAGGCGCTCAAATAGTTGTTAAATGATTTGTGAGAATTAAGAGAAATGGCAGTGGGAATACAGAAAAGTAGATTAAGCTGGGAGACGTAGGTTTGGTGAAGAGTTGGTGACTGAACTGAGAAGGAAAGAGTCTAGGATGACTCCCAGTTTCAGACTTCTTTTCGACATGCTGAATTTGAGACGCTAGTGAAACCGTTGGGTGGCCAGCGGACTGTTAAAAAGGGATCTGGGACCACAGCACTCCCTGAGACCACAAGGGGGCAGCAAACACTTGGAGTGAAGCACCACTCTTCTCCACTCTATCCTCAGGTTCCCTCGCTCTCCACCCGGCAACAA